ATGCAGGATGAGATTTCAGATTTAGAGCGCCAGCTCATCTCTTTGGAGGCCAAGGACACGGCCAGGAGAAGCTATGCAGGTGGAGTCATGCCAGCGTCCCAGCGGCATGATCGCTGGACCAACAGCAATCTGGCGCACCAAAGGACAGAGATCCTCGGCCTCATTGGCTATAAATTGAGTCAATACAGTAAGCAAGCTGTTCAAATATCACAAACCTCTTGTCCTATTTGGATCACAGAGCTGACAATTTGACAGACCATGTTCTTGAGTCATTCTGCAAAGTACAAGACATTCCAGCACCGACGTGGCGAGATATTCACTTGTACAAATCCTACCTTGCCACGAGCAAGCTGATTGTAGATGACGAAACACGGTTTCTGGATGCGTCAAGCGACCTCATCTCGCTGAACACGCAAGGCCTGCCTGCAGACGATTTGAACACCACCGTCCAGGAACAAACGCCAATGCCAAAGGCAGCCGAAGAAGAGCCATTCCACGGCTTTTTCAAAGATCATCTCAGCTCACCATCTGCAGGGATTGATCATGGTATCGTACACAGGCCTGACAACGCGCTGTTTGTGCGACTTACTCTTTCTTGTATCTGCATGGTACTTGTGCCCATCATGATCTTTTCGGTCATACCTAGCTTCGTAGGACGCATGGCAATCGTTCTCCTCATCGCACTCAGTGTCAGTATCGTCATAGAACAATTGGATTTGCTGCAAGAGGTCGAACGGCACAGAGAATGGATGGTGTATTTTGGGTTGTACTGTGGTGCAATGGCTGTCTTGGCTAGAGCAGTGAATTGATTGCTCGGCGTTGCTAGGAGGCTGCCTGGAGTCCCTTACATTACTTTTTTTAATCTCTCAATACCCGGTACTGGGTCTGCACACGGTAGATTATGCTGCATTTTATACGTAACGATGGAACGAATAGAAATAAACAGAGAGGCCTGAATGTCATCGCTTTTCAACGATGATGGGGGATCAGAGATCTGTCTTTTGCCATGTCCGCTATTTTGGCCTCGCCAGATTTGCATGAATCTATTGTTCAGAGGCCAGCCACTCGTAAAGTCAAGTTTCTCATGAAAAGATGTTGTAAGTTTTGCGAGGTGCCAAATTACGCACGCAGAAACGTACCTACTGCATCAATTTTCAAGATGAACAAGATGAACAAGATGAACAAGATGAACAAGATGAACAAGATGAACAAGATGAACAAGATGAACAAGAGGTCTCTTAGGAGGTCGGTACCTACCTCCAGTAGCTGACCCCACAAATAACACGGATTACTTCATATAATCTAATAGCGGCACAATGAACAATAACAAACGGGCGAATGGTTTAGTGGTATAATACTCCCTTAGCATGGTTACCCCGCCTGGGAGTGGTCCAGGGTTCGATTCCCTGTTCGTCCAGCCACTTTTTTGTCACGCTATATTCCGTCATCGCCTCAACTTTTTTGAACTTTGTACATATCTTCAAATCTTGTCGATGGTTCATGAATCATGTTCACTTCAATTCCGAACCTTGGACCCTCAAGTCTCGACAGAACTTACTCCATAGAAGGATCATTGTACACTCTGCAGGAACATCGAGATCTTCGTCCAGCGGCCTCTCGCTAGATCCAAGGCTGGAGACCTCGTTTACGCTATGTAAGTTGCAACTGCCTTCGCATCAGTAAAAGAGTAGGTAGTGGACTTGGGGAAGAGTTGCACCGTGGTATCGTCGCGGTGTCGACCCCAACACATGCGAAAGAACCAAATAGACAACAGATTCGCAGCATTCAATCACCCCCTTTCGCGATGGCACACAAATCATGATGCCCGGAGCGTTGGGGCAGCAGATGATGTTGTCCAAGAACGCGTGGCCTAGCCCAGAGCCGCCACCACTCTCTCGGGCCTTGGTAGCGTCAATGTCGAAGCGGTCGAGCCGGAGGCGGCCAAGACATGTTACGAGTGCCGAAACATCTACAGGCCGACTATCAACAAATTGAACTCATGGTGTATCACTTTCACCGCTGGAGGGCATGTGAAAGTTCTGCCGAAGCAATGCTGGACGCGGAAGCAACGCGCGTCAGAACGCGGTTTTCGAGCCACAGTGCCACGCATCCAACACCATCGTGACCGAAAACCTGAACAAGTCCGTCGAAAAGCCAGTCCAGAAGGCTCTCCGAACTCCTTCCCCCGGAGCGGCTTCGTGGGCGTCCATCACCGCAAGGAGTGTTTCTGGGCGTTCCTGGTTCTTCGGGGCCGCGCAACCACCCCTCCCGCTCGATAGCAGTCCGCCCGCGAGTATACAGAGAAGTACTGGACATCACTCGGAGAGCCCGGAGACGTTGGGGGACACAAAGACTTAGCCTACAGAGCGGAGATAACAACGGCCGGAGGAAAGGAGCCACGGGCTCTTGAACGCTGGGCAGGGCTTCGTAGCAGGATAATAATATTCCTCCTGAGACAAATATCGGCTCTGTACCGCAGAGAAGCAGAGACTTTAAATCTCCCGACCACTCGCAGAGACAAGATGGAAGCTTTCTAGAGAGATTCTTTCCTGATTCCACGGCCCGCGCTACCAATTCTGATATCTTCAGCTGATTCGTACTGATCAGACTCGATGCTGGCGACTTGCTCTTCTGGCTCTGCATCGGCGGGTGCGGCAGGCTCAACTGGCTCAGGGGCTCGCGGGTGAGGACTCTGGCAGGCTCGTGTTGAGAGCGGCCTCCTTGACTTCTTCGTGTTTGATCGACCGCTCGAGAGACTGCGCTCCGAGACGTTGAGATCTACACGTGGGTTTGCCTGGTCTTTCTTCGGCATGGGTGGGTGACTCTATAACTTGGTTTTTCGTCGTGTACAGCCGACGTAAAGAGTGCTGTTAAGCGGGAGGGAGAGGGACTTGGTCCAAGATTTTATTTTCATTTCGTGATGGCTTGCAATGTGAGCGCGTTCCACTTCTTTGAATGAATCGCCGATTGGATGATTATCGAGTTTTCTCCTGTTTGTCGGTGGAAGTGGAAGTTAAACTTCCCTTAGACACCTCCACCATTTCAACCAGAAGTCGAATCTTTCTTCGAAGACAGCTATGTTGACGATTTTCCCCAGCAATTTGAGTCCGATGACCAGAGCCTGCTTTACCAAATTCCTCATTGAAGTTCATTACACATCATCTATCTAATGCCTTCACCTACACCACCGCCGCCGGCTGCGCTGCTAGGAGGATTTATGACAGGAAATCCGACACGGCTGATTTCACACGGTCCATTAGTCGTCTTCGAAAAAAGATTCGACTTCTGGTTGAAATGCTGGAGGTGTCCAAGGAAGAGACGTTCAACTTCTACTTCCACCGACAAATATAAGCAACCCCGATAATCATCCAATGGGTGGTTCATTTGATGCATTCAAAGAAGCGCGCTTACATTGCAAGTCATCACGAAATGAAATCTTGGACCGAAGTCCCACATGTTTCATCAAGTGCAAGGCACGTCTTCTCGTTCGCTGAGACCAGCAACGTTCTATCTCCTCCGAGACACCTACTCGACAACTTTGGCGAACCAATCATTTCCTGCATTTCCTCTCCATATCTCTCTCCCTCCAGCTAAACAGCACTCTTGAAGTCGGCTGTACAGGACGAAAAAGCAGGTTACAGAGTCACTCGCCCATGCCGAAAACTACCGCGAACCCACGCGTAGATCTGAACGTCTCGGAGCGCAGCCTCTGGCGAAACTCACGCAGAGATCGTGGTGACCTCAAAGCCTCCGCAGGATACGGAGCAAATCGACCACCGCACGAACTCGTCGCCGGCCCCCGAAAACAACATGCCCGACCAATAAGAACGACAACGCCGCCGGAGGCGCGCCAACTCGCCCGACACAGTCACCGTCCTCCAGGCCCTGCTGGCCTGGTTGGATTTACTGGAGCAGGTCGTACGCCGCACTCAGAGCCCGGATGAGGGATGGTATCCGGCTGAAAGCTTCAAATACTCCGCGACTAAACTCAGTGGTTTCCATCGCGAGTATCCTGAAGCCGCAGGACCGCCGGTACGATTGGAGGAGTGGGTACGGGCCGCGGCAGGCGATCTGCGCCGTAGGACTTTGACGATAACTGCGTCGCGCGGGAAGTTGTCACGATTCACGAGGCGAAAGACCGCGCGCAGACATTAAAACGGGCTCGTTCACTTCCGGCGGACGTGACTGGATGAAGCGATGGGAGGCGGGTAGGGCAGCAGCAACATATCGAGGGCCAAAATGCGACCGACCCGGCGGTCGAACTCGCACCTAACTTCGACTCGACTGGGAAAAATTACGCCTTCATCGTTCTCTCTTTAAACGCACGAGTCCGCCACCCTCATTCAGACGCGCACGGGAAAAAACAGGCTTGCTTCCTTAAGCACACTCGCGGGGGTGGTTCCGAAGGACCAGGAACGCCCCTTGCGGCGATGGACGCCCACGAAGCTTCTCCAGTGGAACGGGTTCGGAAGGCCTTCTGGACTACACTTTCGATTGACTTGTCTGGGTTTTCAACGGTAATGGTATTGAGTGTGTCGCGCTGTGATTCGACGACCGTGTTTCTGACGCGCGTTGCTTCCGCGTCCAGCATGCTTCGGCAGACCTTCCACACGCCCTTCAGCGCTGAAGGTGATACCAAACGTGCAATTTCATCGAAATCAGCCTCGAGATGTGTCGGCACTCGTTGCCCGTGCCTTGGCCGCCCCCGGCTCGACCGATTTTACGTTGATGCTGCCGAGCCTCGAGAGGGTGAGATGGTGGCTCTGGACGAGGCCACGCGTCCCAGAGTATTCATTGGGAGAGCACCATCTGCCGCCTCAGCGCTCTGGGCATCATTCGCCACTGGGAAAGGGGGTGATTGAATGCTGACTTATAAAAGCTACCTGATGTGCTCAGTGCCTGTCTTGCATGTCACGTGCTGCCGATCGATTCTTTACAACCCTCTTTGTCTTGAACAATAGTTTAGATACTGCTTTTTGCTGATCGTCACATCACAAATGGGGCGAATGGTTTAGTGGTATAATACTCCCTTAGCATGGATGCAACGATTGGGAGTGGTCCAGGGTTCGATTCCCTGTTCGTCCATTTCTTTTTCCAGAACGATGTACTTTTTTGAACTTTGTACCTCCAATGTTCTCGATCGACGAGGCTTTCGTTTGCAGATGTCAAAGCTCAGACGGATGTCCAAAAATGTCATGGTCTGGCTCCAGGTGCCAATCGCGGGTGTGTGCCCAATCCCGTTGCGCCAGATGACGACAAAAGAATAGGTACGCATTGTACACGCTGTACAACTTTGAACTGACACCTATGTATATTGCTAAGGCATCCAGGCCATCACGAGAAAGACGAATAACAGGACCTCGATTGACTGAGAAAAGACGAGAAGAAAACGATAGATAGATTCAATGCAATCCATGGTGGTATTGCCAGCGTGAACAAATGGTCTTTGTGTTGCCGCCTGTGCCTGTACCACCCTAGAGGCAAAGAGCGACGTGAAGAGGGGACACGGACAAAGCTATTCGCCATTTGATGTATGTATGGAAATCTATTGACATCTCTTTATTTTATGTCATTTTGGTTCTTGGTATGACTGTAGCGTCAAACCTTCGATGCGCCAAGAGTCAAGACGGCTTGATCAGAACTGAGGTCGCATATCGGGTCGTGTGTTTCAATCAACGGGTGCGGCGTGTTCCAAAAAATCTAGCCATGTACCTTAAATAGACCTACAACTTGCCCTTCCCAATTTCTTGTTTTTCTTTCATTCTACCAGATCTGATTAAAACTCCACATTCTTGACCTCTTGAAAAAAACGAGTCAGAGAACTCGACACGTTTTGTTTTACTCAAATGCGATCGCAGAAACACATATGAATTGCTTGTCGATTGTCTCGGTAGGAAGATCTCCCAAGAAAGATTGTACCGGGTCATCCGCGCCACTAAGGTTGCAAATAGGAAGCAATGCAGCGAATCTTACCATGAAAAGAAACGGCTTGTGAACGAGGTGCGTTTGTAGTAGGCCAGTAGCACAGGCTGTACAGTCACCAGTGTACAGGTGTAACTTGCAAGTACTAAGCACAGAGGTGAGCAAGAAGTCAACGGTGCAGAAAGTGAGAAGCGACAGCGTAGATGTATGGGATGCATGTAGATAGATAGGTATAGTTTATAAAGTCCGCCATTCTCCCAGTCCTTTCATTCTTTTCCTAGACTAAAATTATTACTTACTTTGATCGATATATCTATTGTTAACTAGGTATTCAGACAGACAAATCCACCATTAGATTTTGACGTCTTCTCACAAAATCCCACTCCAGTACTTATGAGGTATGTATCCTGTTTCCTCCCCAAGATACATTAGGTACCTACCTATGTATGTACCTAGGTACTGCCGTTTGACGTACATACATACTTTGTACATTAACCGGTACGATGTACATATTCCATGATCAAGTAATGTAACTCGGGTGGCATGTAGCCGGGGCACTACCTACCTAGGTACCTACCTACTCAGTACATAGGCCCACCTGGAGCTCGACGACCATTTGGCGGGGCACAGCTGGCGTGAAATTCTGAGGGGACTTGGGCCCGGTGTACCGCGTGACTCAGGTGATCTGATCCATCATCCCACCCACTGCCCGAACAAGAAACCATCACAACAACAATCCCTCGCTGCTGGCACCTCACAGGGCTTTGTCCGAAGTATACGACTTCAGTTTATCATGGCGGTACAGACCAGCAGTCCCGCAGGGGATCTTGCTCATCAGATTCTTCATGCGCTGGACAAGAAATCGCCCCTCCTTTCCACCGAAGCCTTCCCCGCGATACCTTCTACCGAAGTCAAGGGCGCTCTCGACAGACTTGCTTCGCGTGATATGGTCAAATACGAGACTATTGACCGTGAAGAAGCTCTCCTGGAACCCGAAGGCGAGCAGATTGCCACCAATGGCAGTCATGAGGCTCGCGTCTTTGAGGCCCTGCGTGCTGCTGTCGAGGGTTTGACCATACAAGAGCTCGAGAAGGCCATTGGTGACAAAAATGTTGTCAAGATTGGCCAAGGTAGAGCTTTCAGGGAGAAATGGATATCAAAATCCCAAGGTGAGACTTCCTGTCTATCTGCTGTCGCATTCATATTAGAGATGGTAGCTAACGCGACTGATGTCGCAGATGGGAAATTCAAAGCGGCCGTGAGTAGATCTGCAAATATGACGAGATTTTCGCGCATTTTGGATGGAGGATGGCGGCTGACGTGGAAGCCACTCAATAGAAAGAGTCTGTCCAAGACACGACCCAAGAGCAGATGCAGACGATTCAGTCGACGCGATCATGTCCTGACGCCAAGATGCTGGCCGATCTGAAGAAGCGCAAGCTTGTCCGAACCCAGAAAATTATCAGTTTCAAAATCGAGAAGGCTGACAAGTTCGCTCTCAAAATACCCGAAGTCGCCACCGACTTGACCGCCGACATGATTGCTAGCGGTTCATGGAAGACTGCCAATTTCAAGGGATACAACTTCAAGGCTTTAGGTGCGGATCAACAGTCTGGCGCTTTGCATCCTCTAAGCAAGGTTCGATCTGAGTTGAGGCAGATCTTCTTTGAGATGGGTTTCCAGGAGATGCCTACAGATAAGTAAGTTGTGGCCATGTTGCTTTTTTGGCTACGCCGCTTGTCGGTTGCTAACATGGTGTCAGGTTTGTCGAATCTGGCTTCTGGAACTTTGATGCGCTTTTTGTGCCGCAACAACATCCCGCCCGTGATATGCAAGACACTGTACGTACTGCAGTACTTGATTGGCAATTGCGGAGCGACCATCAAAGAGGCTGACCATTGGTGTTTGCAGTTCTATGTCTCCGATCCCAAGGAGGCCGATATGCCCCGAGCAGAGGATGGCAATGACGAAGGTGACTACAAGACTTATTGGGACAACGTGCAGGAGGTCCACCAGGTATGCCAGGACAAGATATGGACCCAATACTTGCACGGAGAACCTTTTTACTGATTCAAAGCTCAGGAAGGCAAATATGGATCGATAGGGTACCGATACCCTTGGTCTGGAGAGGAGACTCGAAAGCTGGTGCTACGGACGCATACCACTGCCATCAGTGCCAACATGCTGCATAAACTGGCCCAGCAAAAAGGCCCTGATGGCCGCCCACCCCCCGCTCGATACTTTTCCATCGATCGTGTGTTCCGTAACGAGACTGTAGACGCCACTCACTTGGCGGAGTTTCATCAGGTCGAAGGTGTCATTGCTGATTATGACCTGACTTTGGGTGGTCTCATGGAGGTAAGATTTCAAGATACACTGCCTTGCCCAGTTCAGTCGCGTAGAAACAACATCACTGACTGCAGCAGTTTATGGACATTTTCTTCGGCAAGATGGGCATCACCGATCTCAAATACAAGTGTGCCTACAACCCTTGTAAGTGGCTCGCATTGTGACCACTTTTCTCGTGATGACGTCGATTAACTTGAGCAATAGACACGGAACCGAGCATGGAAATCTTCTCTTATCGTTAGTCTCTCCTCTCTGCCGCCCTGGAAACAATCGCTAACACCGTGACAGACAAGGGTCTTGGAAAGCTAGTCGAAATCGGCAACAGCGGCATGTTCCGACCTGAAATGCTGGAATCCATGGGCCTTCCGTAAGTCATGACCAAGCCATGACTTCCATTTTTCCAAAGTTGTCGATACTGATTACCTGTGTAGCAAGGACATGCGAGTCTTCGGCTGGGGTCTGTCTCTTGAACGACCCACCATGATCAAATACGGCATTTCCAACATTCGCGAATTGCTGGGTCACAAAGTCGATCTGAACTTCATGCGAAACAGCCCTGCAGTGCGTTTGGACAAAGAATAAGCGTCGCCAATGAATGTAAACAAAACGAAACCACCCAAAAAATATACAAATCAGGACGTTGAGGAGGGAACGGCTCTCGTGGATGCGACGGAAGTCGGTAGAATACCATGTGGTGAGCTGAGGTGGATGGGGAGTATCATAAGTTATAAGTGATCGAGGCGATGTATTGGATGTCATGTGCCGTAGTCGCATCTTGACGTGAGGGACACTTGCAAGTTGCGAGGCACGCTTCATGTATTCATGTGGGCCGTTGGGAATAGAAGGAGATACATACATACTGTAATGTACTCCGTACAATTACCGCCCATCTTCTAAGACGACTTGATGACGCTTTATGAGAACCCACGAAGAGAACCGACAACTTGCAAAAAAAGAAAAAATAATACATACAACAACCGGTGTTCGCTGGTCGTCACCGACCCAACTACCTTCGCGTGTGACCCCCCTTTTGTATAAGCTTGTAGAATGCACGCCTAAGCTTAGGCATGTACGACAAGGTTGGGGAGGTGCGCTCTGAGCT